AGAGAGGGAGAGGAAAGAGGAGAGAGGAAGAGGGGAAAGGAAAGAGAAAGAGAGGAGAGAGGGAGAGGAAAGATAGAAAGAGAAAGAGGAAAGAGAAAGGGAAGAGAAAGAGAGGGAGAGGAAAGAGAGAAAGAGAAAGGAAAGAAAGGGAAGAGAGAAAGAGGGAGAGGAAAGAGAAAGAGTGAGAAAGAGAGGGAGAGGAAAGAGAGGGAAGAGAGAAAGAGAGGGAGAGGAAAGAGAGGGAGAGAGGAAAGCATAATCACTATGCTTTAATTATGTTCAATTTGTAAAAATGAAAATACATCCTGCATATCAGATATTTACATTGCGATACATAACGTAGCAAAATTACAGTTATGAAATAGCAATGAAAATAATTTTATGGTTGGGGGTCACCACAACATGGTGGCCACGCCCACTTGGTGGCCACACCCACTTGGCAGCCACACCCACTTGGCCACGCCCCTGGCACCCGGGGTCACAACATGGGGAACTGTATTATGGGGTCGCGGCATTAAAAAGGTTGAGAACCACTGTTTTATTGTATTAGCATAGGTACATATTGTAGTTCACATTTAATTTGCATAGAAGTACTCTACTTACTAACAAATTTCCTACTACATCAAATGTGAGCGTTAATAATATTTCATCAGGCCTGCAATATTCCCTTTCATTTGTTTCAGCTATATTGTTCGTTCCAGGGAAACTTAAAAAGCTAAAAGTATGTTGTCCTGTTTATATTAACTTTCTAGGAGTTTTTAAAATGTAATTATATTATGTTTCTCCTTCTTTAACTTGGTACTTCTGTGCAAAGTAAAGGAATGAGACAAGTAAATACTGTATTTTAAAATGGGATGAGATTTATTTTGAAATTTGATGCTTTTGATACTATTCTACTAATTAAAAATAGTATTGCTATTTCTATTGATCTATTTATGTCCTAATATTAGTATGCAATAAAAAGATGAATGTAATAACATGATTTGAAATTATGCTTTTCATATCAGCAAAAACATGCAGCTGATTAGAATGAACGAATCTAGCTTATTCACTTACAGATAAACAAATAATTAAATTAAAGAGCAATGGAACTCAGTTTGAGGAAGACTTTAAAAGCCAGCAATGTTGTCTTTTGGAAGTGGGAAGCACTCCAACCTGAAACATACCCAAACATGGCTATTAATAAATTAACTAAGAGGATATTGGTGGACAGCATGTAGATGCACACTAATGGAATAGTAATCCACTCAGGGAAACGAGGGAGGTTATTGGAATCCACTTCTACACACAGAGGCTTGGATTCATTTCCAAGGATGGTACAGTGATCAAAATCGTATGTAGTACCTATAATAAAGGGAAGAAATATAAAATAATATTAAATTATCAGAAGAACTGATATACTTTAATACAAAGTTATTGGTGTACTGGTAGTACATGATTTTAGTACAGAAAAACAGCAATAATAATTATTATATATTAAATTTGTATTACACCTAATCATTCTGATTCCTGGAGACTTACAACAAAATACAATGCTATTCAAAACATACAGGAAAAAAAACCCAAATATAATAAATCAGTCATTATAAGAAAAATGAAAAAGTAATAAACAATTAAGAATTTAATCCAGAAAACAGGAGACAGTGAATTCTAGTCCTGCCTTGGTCATGGAAATTCAGCTGGATGATTTTGAGCCAGTCAGTCTCTCTCAACTCAATTCACTTCACAGAGTTGCTGTTATGGGGAAAATAGGAGGGAGAAACATTAAGTATGTTCACTGCCTTGAGTTACTTATAAAGTAATAAAGGCAGGATAAAAATATAATAAATAAATTTCTCTATCCAATAGCATCCATAAGAGTGGTTAAATGAGTTAGCAGGCTATCATGATATAAGCCCTGCCCCTTTTATACATGCATCATTATATCACACATAGACCACATTCAAAAAAATGGAATTTGCAGCAAAGTGGTTTATTAGAATTAGAATTAATTATTGGTCAAGTGTGGTTGGACACACAAACTGTAGGTAATAAATCATGATCATAATCAACATAAAAATCCATTAATCATAAATCATAAGATACAATACTTAGTAATAGTCATAGGATACTAAATAAGCAAACAACATAAACCATATTAGGATACTAAATAAAACAATATAAATTGTAAGATACAAGCAACAAAGTTATAGTCATAAGCAGATAATGAGATAGGTAATAGGAAAGATGAGGAGAATAATAATAATATAGTCTTACTAAGTAGTTTGACAGTATTGTAGGAATTAGTTGTTTAACAGAGTAATGGCATGGAGGAAAAAACTGTCCTTCTGTCTAGTTGTTCTGGCGTGCAATGCCCTATAGTGTCATTTTGAGGGAAGAAGTTGAAACAGCTTATGTCCAGGATATGAGGGGTCTATACGGTACATATTTTCACAGCCTTCTTTCTTCCTCATGCAGTATACAAGTCCTCAATGGAAGACAGGCTGGTAGCATTTTTTTTCCAGTTCTAACTATCTGTTGAAATCTGTGTCTGTTTTGTTTGATTGCAATGCCAAACCAGAGAGTAATAGAGGTGCAAACGACAAACTCAATAACTCCTTTGTAGAACTGTATCAGCAGCTCTTTGGGCAGTCTGAGCTTTCTCAGTTGGTGCAAGAACATTCTTTATTGTGCTTTTTTGATGACATATTTCATGTTAGGTGTCCATTTTAAATCTTGAGATATTATAGAAACTTGAAGGTCTCTTTTAGAATAGAATTAGAATAGAATAGAGGTGGAAGGGACCTTGGAGGTCTTCTAGTCCAGCCCTCTACTTGAGCAGGAGAACCTATATCTTCTCAGACAGGTGGATATCCAGTCTCTTCTTAAAAATCTTCAGCTGTCAGGAAATTTCTCCTTAGTTCCAGGTTGCTTCTCTCTTTGGTCAGTTTCCAACTATTGTTTCTCGTCCTTCCATCTGGTGCTTTGGTGAACAACCTGGCCCCCTCTGCCTTGTGGTAGCCCCTCAGATACTGGAACACTGCTATCATGTCTCCCTTATTTCTTTTCCTTAAACTAGCCAGACCCAAATCCTGTAACAGTTCTTCATATGTTTTAGTCTCCAGGCCCCTGATCATCTTAGTTGCTCTTCTTTGAATTTTTTCCAAACTCTCAACATCTTTTTTGTGGTATGGTGACCAAAATGGTTGCAGTATTCTAGGTGTGGTCTTACTGAGGCTTTATAAAGCGGTAATAGTACTTCTTGTGATCTTGATTCTATGTCTTTGTTTGTACAATCCAGGATTTTGTTAGCTTTTTTGGTTGCTGCTGCACACTGCTGGCTCATAGTCAAGTGATCATCCACTAGGACGCCAAGGTCCCTCTCACAGTTACTGTTTTTGAGCCAGATCTCGCCTAATCTATATTTGTGCCTTTGGTTTTTCCTGCCTAAATATAAGACTTTGCTTTTCTCCACATTGAAACTCATTTTGTTGGATAGGGCCCATTGTTCAAGTTGGTCAAGATCTTTTTGGATCCTGTGTTTGTCTTCTGGGTGTTGGCTACTCCTGCTAGTTTGGTGTCATCTGCAAATTTGATGAATTCCCTTCTATTCTCTCATCTAAGTCATTGAAGATATTGAAGAGTATTGGGCCTAAGAGGGAACCTTGTGGTACCCCACTACTTACTTCTCTCCATGTGGATGTAGTGCCTTGAGGACTTCTCGTTGAGTACGGTTTGTTAGCCAGTTACAGATCCATCTGGTAGTGATGTTGTCTATTCCACCTTTTCTTAGTTTACCAAGGAGTAGGTTGTGGTGTACCTTGTGAAATGCCTTACTGAAGTTCAAGTTTACTATGTCCACTGAGTTTTGCTGGTCTACTAGTTTAGTCACTTTATCGAAAAATGAGATGAGATTGGTTTGGCATGATCTAGCCCGTGCTGGCTATTAGTTACGACTTTGCTTCTAGTTGTTTGCAGATCTGTTTTTTGATAATCTTTTCACATTTTCCCAGGTATTGATGTTAAACTGATTGGTCTGTAGTTTCCTGGGTCCATTTTTTTCTCTTTCTTGAAGATGGTGACCACATCAGCCCTTTTCCAATCCTCTGGTACTTTCCCGGTGCTCCAAGATTTATGGAGGATGTGATGCAATGGTTCTGAGATATCCTCTGCCAGCTCTTTCAGAACTCTGGGATGTAGCCTGTCAGGTCCCAGTGATTTATATTTGTCAAGGTTGGATAGGTGTTCCCTTACTATTTTCTTGCTTATTTTAATTTTTGTTTCTAGTATGTCTTGGGGTTTTTTTTTTATGTGTTGGGCTATAGTTTCTTTTTGTGTGAAGACTGACACAAAGTATGAGTTAAGCAGTTCTGCTTTTTCCCTGTTGCCTGTAATTTCTTGCCATCTTCTCCCTTTAGCGGGCCTACAGTTTCCTTGATTTTTTTCTTGTTGTTAATATGTTGGAAGAAGCTTTTTTTATTGTCCTTGATTTCTGTTGTTAGCCTTTGTTCGTTCTGAGCCTTTGCTTTCCTGACTTTGCTTTCCTGACTTTGTCTTTGCATGCTCTGGCTGTCTGCTGGTAATCAGCTTTAGTTATGTGCCTCTCTTTCCATTTTTTGTATTTATCATTTTGTCTTTTAGTTTGTTAGTGAGTTCTTTGTGCAGCCATGCTGGTTTCTTCTTGGATTTCTTGTTTTTCTTTCTCACTGGTATTGTGCTGGTCTGGTCTTTTGTGATCACATTTTTCAGGGTTTCCCACGCTTCCTGGGTTGTTTTCCCCTTAGTTTGTTAAAGTTGGCTCTTTTGAAGTTTGGGACCTTGGTTGGATTGTTTTCTATTGCTGGTGTTTGCATTATTTTAAATTCAGGTATAACGTGGTCACTTTTGCCCAGGGCTCCAGTAATTTCAATTCCCTCTATCACTTCTTCTCTGTTTGTGATGATTAAGTCCAGTATAGCTTTACGCAGGGCTTTTTTTCTCGGAGAAAAGGTGGCGGAACTCAAACCTGGCCACGCCCTCATCAAACCCTAGGACCGCCCCTTTAGAGAACAGGAATGCAAGTAAAATTTGGGAGGGGCTATTTCCGGTGTGGGAGGGGCTATTTCCGGTGCGGCCGGCCCGGAAAAAGGTGCCGGAACGCCGTTCCGCCGCGTTCCGGCTGAAAAAAAGCCCTGGCTTTACGTCTAGTTCCCTCCTCCACCTTTTGAGTGACAAAGTTGTTGGCTAGGTTGGTTAGGAATCTGTTTGATCTCCTGCTCACTGCAGAGTTTGTCTCCCAGTTGATATCTGGGTAGTTGAAATCTCCCATTACTACTGTGGTGTGCTTCCTGCATGCATTTGTTAGTTAGTTGGCAAAGTGTTCATCTATTTCCTCTGGTTGGTTGGGTGGCCTGTAATAAACACTTATGGCAATGTCACTTTTGTTTTCTTTTATATTGACCCATATACTTTCTAGAGAGATTTTGTCTTGGGTCATATGCATTTCTGCAGATTTGTAGTGTTCTCTTACATATAGTGCAACTCCCCCTCCTCTTTTTATAGACCTGTTTCTTTTGAACAATTTGTATCCATCCATCTGTCCATTTCATTCATGGGTTTTGCCCCATCAGGTTTTTGTTATGGCCAACTATGTCATACCCTCCCTCATGTACTATTGCTTCTAGTTTGCCCTGTTTGTTCCCCAAGCTTTGAGCATTTGTGTATAAGCATTTAAGATTTTTATGCCTGTCCATGGGGGTGTTCCCTGTGTCTCCTGGCTGTTGTTTGAGTTCTTTTTTTCATCTCTGCTTACCTCATTGTTTGATTTGCTTTCTTGGGATTTGTGATTGGTTTTGGGTTCTAGAGTTTCTAGAGATTGGTTGCCCTCCCCCCTCAGTTTTAGTTTAAAGCCCTCCTGATGAGTTGGGTCAGTCTTTTTCCAGTACATTTTTGCCTGTTTTCATGAGGTGTAGCCCATCCCTTGCCAATAGTCCTTCCTGTAGAAAGTGCAGTCCATGATCCAGGAAACCAAAGTTTTCTTGGCGACACCAACCCTTTAGCCAATGGTTTATTTTTAAGATTCTTTTTTCCCTCAATGGGTGTTGGGAGAACTGAAGAGAACACTACTTGTGCTCCTAGCCTCTTGACTTCATTGCCTAGATGTCTGTAATCCCTCACTAAGGTTGTTTGTTGTGTCGTTCGTCCCAATGTGGAGGATGAGGAAGGGGTATACTGTGTTGTCTAATATTGTAAGAGGTGGTAGAATAGGAGGGTTTCTCCTAAAATCCACTGTCATTTCTACAGTTTTGAGGCTGTTCAATTCATGTAAGGTCCTGCCCCAGCTAGCATTCCCAAAAAAGCAGAACTCCTGAAACTGGTATGGTTTC